GTTAGACTATTGGGAGATAAGGCACGAACGAGAATGCCCGGAGGCCATCAATTAACCTGCGGTTAACCGCAGACCGCAACTCTCTGGGCGATCAATTGGTGACACACTCCCCTTGCAGGGTGGTCGGTCGTTCAGTTGTTTGAAAGGTGACCGGGGTTAAGTGGCGGCACACGCCAGGGACCGGGTAGTCCGTTATTCGTTTAACGAGTCGGTGTAAGTAATCCGTTCAAGAGTTGGGTACAGGATTCAAGTACCGAAGCAATATTATAGCAAAGAAACAACATAATGCTTGTCTGTAATGGGTTTGTAACAACATGCATGGATTTTCCCTTGGCAATTCTAACTTGGGATAGACTGCAAACTCTTGGGGCCATTCCATGCATGTCTTGGTGAACATTTCTGTTTGAAGAGCCAGGTACATAAGTAAGATATCTTACAGTTGCAGATGGTGATTACCCAACAGATTGAAGTGGAAATGGTAGAAGGGGCAGTTGACTAAGGAGACACTGGAAGGGTGAACAGAAAGCGTCGAATGGCTTGTTCTACTCCACTTCAAAGTGAGTGACGAGCTGAGCCTTGCTGGTGAAACTTCCTTTCCTTCCTACCTTTGCGACGTTCCTTCACCATAAAAACACTGCTCAGAAAGTGTGCTTGGCTTTTTCAGAATAGTGATGTGTTGGTAGCCTGCGTGTCATGGATGACATGTATGCCCTAAATTTCAAATCCCTGCCCTTGGGCAAATAATGTCTGTAAAGGCACACCAAGGCATAAAAGGGGTTAAAAGCCGTTTAGGAGATCTTCCCCTTCCAGAGAAATACGTTTACACTCCTAGCAGTCAAACTGGAACAGCATACAATAAATCCCCCAAAGAACGAGACAAGGCTCAGTTTTGAGGGTCAAGCAGGAACAGACAGAGCTGTGGGTTTATTGTTCTTATATACACACACATTAGTACCACCCACAGGGTTTTGGAAAACAGCCAATAAACACATACAATACACTCAGACACTCCCACACAAAATCCTCCCCTCTGCCTGTGATACAATTACCTTACACAATGGGTAATGCAATTATCACAGGCATAATATGAGAAATACAGTTTTTCCACATTATTCATAACTTTAAAAGTATGCATCACATTCACATAAACATTTTCAGAATCAGCATACTCCAAATACAAACATACGTCAAAATCATACAAATTGGTCCAGTGGTTCAAAAGATAGATCGTAGTTCTTTGTAACCAAATGAAGCATGGCTTTTCTGCCCAAAACCAGTTCCACAGAGTCTTCTATCCTGGAGATAATTGGGAAGTAATCCAATCATCTCCAAGGACAGAGGCAAAACTCCATTGAACATATGGCAGCAAAAGACAATAAAATACATAAAAATATATAACTGTGCAGCCATTGCATAAAACAGGTACATTCAACATATCCCCAGATAGCTCAGATCTGAGCGCACATTATTACTGAATGGCGCTCAGATCACACACATACAGTTTAATTACCATGGAGCCAAAGTCTTTCATTATACGAATGGGCTCCATGGCATAGCTATCTGGGGTATCACCGCTCAAACAGGGCAAGCACCGAATGACCCGGCTTTCGTGTCTTTGCAGGAGAAATCAAGCGTTTCAACATGGGGCCATAGTCTAAAGGGAGCAGGCGGGCAACCAGGCTCCTCCAATGCAATGTGGCAAAATTGCTCTCGTTACAATGTCTATTCTTGATAAATTGATAGCAAGACAGATAGAGTTAGACAGGAATGGATAGAATTAGACAGGCACCACAATAATGGATATATCAGATACCATCCTGTATTGTAAGAGATTGCATTGCTGGTTTGCTGTTCAAGAAACACACAGTGTTTCTATATCTGTGTGCCAGTATCACGATTTTACTATAAATAAGTTCCTGTGATTTATTTCACATATTTATATAAATACTGCAATCCATGCTTGGCATTGGGCAAAGCAATTTAAGAAACTGAAGATCCAAGGTTCCTTACAATATTTTTTTAAAGGGAAAGCATAATGACATTAATGCAAATACAATGTTTAAACTTTGATAATCCAGATAAAGGATTTGATTTGCAGCAACTAATTGGGTTATGTCCACATGTGAGTTTACACACAAATGGTCCTGCTGAGCACAGCTGTTGCCCCCAAATTCATTCAAGCAAAGCAATGCATATTTTGAAATGTAAAAAAGGGATGTAGGGAAGCAGCGCCTTCAGTTTTGTCCTCAAATCCAATTGAGTATATGGTGACATGAAATGATAAGACAATAAATTGAAATCTAGTACAGTATTTTCATTGCTGGTGATAGATGAAAAGAAAGAAATACACGTACAATTTTACACTTACACTTACAAGATGTTTTCCATCAGTGTGTTGTATTTCATCAGTACAGGAACACCAGCAGAGAAATATAAAAACAGAAAATAGTGCTCTCTTTATGGATATATAGGAAATAAAAAAGACAAAAGGAGGTATAATCACAAAAGGAGAGCAAAGTGAAGTGTTGCTCAATCCTCTAAAGCTTAGGTTGTATCTTCCACACCTAGGAAATTGAAGTATGGGATACTCTAGGTAACTGGTGATTGCTGCCCATAGCTGACAGGCCT